TCGGCATAGGGCTCATTCGAAAGGGCACGGTTTAGCCTTTAATTTCTGATATATGCAAAATTTGTACCACGTCAGGGTTCAGCTCTATAATTTTTCGAAAATGGCCAAAAACGCTGTTTTTAGGGGTTTCAACCCCTTTTTTCTCGAAAACGTGACGTGATGGGACATTTTTGACCCCGGATTCGTGTTCAGCACGAAAAATCCGTTCAGAAACACCAGGTCCCGTCTTATTCGCAGAAAAAAAGTTGAAATTTGTAGACCAGTGTAATTTTTTCATACGAATTATTTTTTATAGGTGTCCATCATTGCACTTAATGGAGTTTTTGCGGACCTATAAAATACTGTTGTTATTAAAAAATTGTTAAATAAACAACTGGACATAATTATTGGAAGGCTCTTTAAGAGAAACAGAGCTTTACGATCGAAAAATATTGCTTCTCAAGAATTCTATACCATTATTACCAAAAATTATTTTTTCCTCATTTAAAAGAAAACTATGAGCGACCTCTAAATACTCTTTACTTAAGAAAAAAAATTGGGCTTATTTTTTCGGTATAGAACAATCGTAGGGGGTGAGAGCCTTAAAATTCCGACTTTACTTATCTCTGGACCACCTTAATTCACATATATGTTACGCGTTTTGCATGCAACATTATTATGTTTGGCATTCTTGATCAGCGTCCGGTGTAAATGAAGCATTTAGCAGCATATTTGCACTTTGATGCGTAAGTCACTTTGCGATCGCATCAAATGTGTGAATGAAACCAAGTTCGGGTGTGTATAAGTACACTTACTTTTACGGGTGCATGAATTGAAATTGAAGTACACAAGATATACATACGTATATATTTGGCAGTATACATAGAAACTAAGCAATAGCGTTTTCTTAAAATGTCATAACTTTTACTTAAATTTATTTGAACAAACCGAGTAAAAGATCTTAAATTTTAAGAAAAAGCATTGCTTACAGCCTCCTCATGTACACATCTCGAACAATATGAAAAATAAACAAATCGTATTATTTTGTTACTAGAATATTCAGCATTTTTGCTACCAAATATAAGCTTATCTTCTTCCATTATCCCGTCCCATCGCTTCTCTGTCATCGCGCTGGCTCTGTCAGAATCAAACACTCTTGCCAGATCCGAATTTTGATCCGTCTCTTATTAGTGCTTCATTTGTTCAAGGACTCCCTGAAAATATCCGATGAATAATTTTTTTGAACCCCTGCAGGAGTGCTTTTTACAAAAAATTTAACTACCGTTAACAAAAAAAAAAAAACATGAGCTGAGAATAGTATAGTTGCAGGAGACGATTAAATGCTATTCTTATGCATTATTTTATTTATTTTAACTAAAAATGGCAAATTATGACGACCCAATATATGTAGATAAAAAATATCTACTACGGAATTTTATTTTCTGCTACGCGTTTTCACTTCATTTATTCGGATCTAGGATTTCCGTAGTTCTAATCCTGATCAGCTGTTTTCGTGTTGCCAGACGATAACGAATTACAAAGTACCAAGTGGCGAACGATTTGTGTGGCAGAGATACATGATGAGACTGTTAGGCTTTGTGCATACGACCCATTTTATTCACAAACTACTATGTACATATGTACATATGTATGCATACTATACATATTTCTCTTTAATTAACTCTATTTTCTATATATTAATACGCTAACATAAATTTTGTCTCCGTTCGTTTGGCGATTCTACCGAACCGATTTCAAAACCAAGAACACCATTGGAAAGACAATTTTCTGTAGATGAGGAGAGTTTTTATGGTTACGAAATTGGTTCAAAATTATTCCAAGTCCTGCCGAAGTCCTCCAAAGACCTTCAAAAATATAAAAAATTGTAGTCACGTTTTACTTCCGAAGCATGAAATTTTCCGTTAAGTTACTTTGTACCTTATAAGTTTTGCTACATGTTAAGTTAGAAAACCTCTCCAAGGCTCTTAAAAATTAAAAAAACTGTCGAATTTCGACACTAACTGGAACGCCTAGTTTAAATAAATATATATCATGATCTCCATAATTAATTATACTTATGTATTTTTTAAAAAACTATATTCGCTAATACAAGCACATTGCAAAGTCAACCCCTTTTTTGAGCTAGAAAATCACTTTGTATTCCTCTTTACAGAGCATTATTATCACTTTAGTACCCATGATAAATGACACTTGCCATTGCCACTTAACTTACCTTTTTTTTCTTTAACCGTCATAGTCTGTCTTTTGCAAAAAGCCGTAATAAGATTTTGACCCTGTCATGGCATTTACTTACTTTAAGCTGCAATTTTCTTTAATATCTAGGGAAACACCTCATGTTGACTTTGAAATTTTATCACGCTGCTGTCTGAGACACAAAGCACAAGAGAATGCAAGGGTTGTGTATCATTGGTGTGTTGCCAGATTAAGAAAATTTTTTGGACAACAGAAATTGTTTTTTGTGGGAGCAGGAGATACATACATACATGCAGTGAAACAAATGAAGGCTGGAACGCGACATTCTAGCAAGTTTTGCTATCTTTCTTTAGTTTATGCAATGTTTGTAATTTTTTTTAGTATATCTGATTATTTAACAAATACGATTTAAATTCAAATTTCAGATTCTATGCAAAAACTATGGAAATTGTGCAAAGTAGGCAAAATTTTGGTAGGCTGTTGTGTAGTCTAGGACTTACCGTTATTTTTTGGAAATTTTTTTGTTGACGATGTTCCGATATTTTTGATTTGTATGAAAAAAAAAATGTGGAACACTGTCAACAAAAAAAAAAAAATCCAAAAATCAATGGTAAGTACTAGACACTTCAAATTTGCACTCTATTATACTAAAATTTAATGGCCTAAAAAACTACATACCAAAATTCGGTCTAAAGATGGCGATTAATGAGTTAACAATTTTGGTTTAACTTTACTTGAAATTTGCACATTATCAGACAAAAATTGATTGGGCTATAAAACTGTGTATTCAGAAAAATTCTAACACTTCCGAGAAAAAAGTTTGAAATTTAGGTGAAAATTGGTTGCACTTTTATGAAGTTTTCTACAATTTGTTAAACTTGGGTTTATATGGGGTTTGTTAGAGAAAGAACAGTATTTTAATTGAAAATTCTCAAAAATAAATAAATAAACATAAGTTGCACACAATATCACTTTGAAATGGCGTGCTATAGATATGAACGATACTGTATATATATTATATATAACATGTGATCAATAAAGCTTAACTAAAGGATGCACCTCCAGTCAGCGTTAACTAGACATGGTGCAAACGGTCCTAAATGTTAGTTTCGGATATATCGTGCCAACTAGGTCAATAATAGGGCATTCAATCCCGGGATTCAAAATACCGGTATTTCGGGATCCCGGACACTTTTCCATGTCTCGAAATCTCGGGGTTACAGCTCCGGAATCCCGAGATTTTTACTGATTAATTTACAGCATGAAAGAGATGTTGAAAACGAAAAAATTAATTCATTTGACATGAAACACGAGAAATAAAGAACACCAAATAATAGTACTTGTTCAAATATTTTGTGCAAAAACTGTTTAATAACGAAAAATCTGGTAGCAATTGAAAACACAACAAGCTTTTACAGTGTGGCAGAGTTGTTCTTCATTTTACTTTATTAGCGTTTTCTGCCAATATGAGTAAATGTTTTTGACAAGTAATCTAGATATATTAGAATACAATAAACATATTTATTTAAACATCAAATTATGAACTCTTTTCCTAAGGGGCATTATGCTCCCCTAAGACTAAATGTGGTGACAATGAAACTGTGTGGTTTGAAAAAGGCGAACCTACTGTAAAATGCAAAAAGTTGTGATGATGTCGAAATTTCGAAAAATTTCCGGATCCCGGGGTTAGAATTTGTGCATCCCGAAATACCGGAATTTTTAAAATGCTTCGGGATTGAGTGAAATAATGATATAAATAATTCTTAATTGCAGGATCCTCATTTTACATGTTTACAATCGATTGGAGAAACTTTGTAAATATATATGTACACCTAAGCAACTTTACAAAATTATGTGCCACATTGAATTATAAAAAAATCTGGCAACGTTGTATCAAATTTATCTAAATACATATTTGTCAGCAAGACCACTGCAAGACTACAGCTTCTTATGAAGGGCGTAAAATAAATATTTCTTCTGATTTTATGTATGTATGTGTGTATGTGTGTATATTGCTTTCCCTCAGGCACTTGGTATGCAACGGTCATGTCAAGATGATTGCGGCACGCAAGTAGATGGGTGGACTGCTGTTCAGTTCTTTTCCAGCTCTTTAATTTACTCTTATAGTTTTTGTCTTACTATTTTCTCTAGGTATTTCCCTTTGAGCTGTAAGTTTTATTCATTATTTTGTTGAGCTCTTATATATCTGTAGATTAGTTTATGAGGACGATGGCTGTAAGGAGGTGTAACAGGAAGAGTGGAAACGTGTCTGGAGAATGAGTTGCCAGCTGTTTCTTAGTAATGATAATACTCATAGCATTTCCGTGTGGAATGAATGCATTCGTATGTATACATATATATATATATATATGTGTCTGTGGAATACTAAAGTAGTGGCGAAAAATGATAGATTTATGTTCATGGCAGAGGTTGATTGTTTAAGTGATTAAAATATATTATGATTACAATATATGATGAAATGATCTTTACTGTTTAAATATATATATTCATCGTTTGCTTATTCTAAACATTTAAATAAGCCAACGAGATTGCTTGCTTTGACCTACAGCTTACTGATTTCAAAGCTTCTTCGCTTTAAATTGGGTGAATATTTTTTATGACTTAAACTCTACTCAGGTTTCTTTGCTCATGGCCAAGTTCAAATATTTAGCTAAAACTGTTTTGATCTAATTCATTAAAAAAAATTTTTTAATTTTTTTCACCATGTTTTCGCGACCTAAATTTGTAATGCATAAATTCTTAGTAATGCTCTCTTATCATTGTTTTGCTTTCTTTTGCGTTTACAGAGTTCCTTCAGATCGTAAAAAGGATCACATTAAGCGACCCATGAATGCTTTTATGGTCTGGGCACAAGCTGCACGTCGAGTGATGTCCAAGCAGTACCCTCATCTACAAAACTCAGAATTAAGTAAATCACTAGGAAAGTTATGGAAGTAAGTATTTTCGAGTGAAAAGCGATTAGTTATAATAAGTATTTTTTTTAAGTATTAAAAATTGTACATACCCGTGATCTGCCTCTCTGGTAGATATTCTTCCAACGGATTATGTGCCACAATTGAAGAACGAATCTTCATGGCAATCAATGCATATTTACATATAAATGCTATTTAAACCAAATTAGTATGGGACCTCCACTGAGGCACCAGAAAAAGAATTATCGAAATCGGTTAATGTGGTATTAATGAGGTAAATTATTATACATTTTTAATAGCTATATTTTGACATTTCTTATAAAATTTACATAAAAAAATCTCAGCCCTCCTGCTATTAGCGATCAATTCATATGGCGGTTTTTATGATGCATAAAGATTTGCATAATTGATAGCTGGTGGCAATTTTGAGCGATTTCTTTGGGTAGTAAACCTAGTCTTAGAGGGATGTACATAGAATAATAGTACGACCGGTTGTGATATACGCAGCGGCAGTTTGAGTCTCCAGAACTAAGTTAACCATGAAACTGCCTACCTATTGGGCGACCTCAACTTCATTTTGAACGGTAAATTGCTTTATAATAACCAGGGAACGGATTTTTAGGACCTAAAAACCTATAAAAAAGGCAAAATAAAGTGACGAAATAGGCTGGAAAAGGCAAAATAAAATAGCGAAAAGGGCAGGAAAAGGCACTAGGTATTGGGAAAAAGGCAAAAAAAGGCAAAACAAAATAGCGAAAAAGGCAGGAAAAGGCAAAAAAAGGTATTGCAAAAAAAGCAAAATAAGGCACTAAAAAAAGACAGAAAATACGAAGAACAATCAAAAAATATATTTATTTTAGAAATGTTTATATTAAAAGTAAAAAGAGAAAAACTATGAACTAGTTTCATTATATGAAAAATTTTTACTTTTAAACTTTGACTATTTTATCCTTTCGAGTTTCTAATTCATAAAACTTTAATCTGTATAGTTGTAGTAACATTAAACCACAAGATGCATTTTGAAGTTTTCTGGCAGCATTTTCATTCGATTTTCGCGAAGAAAAGCCTTGAATTTACTAAATGTGCGCTCGCCGTAAGTTGATACAAGTGGAGCCCAATTTAAATATAGAACGTTTGAAACGTTCATATTATCAGGAATAAGGGCATTTTCCTCGCCCTTTACAATTTTATCCACACCCCTTATTGTCTCCAAGCCTACGTTTGCTGAGAAAACGGCTTTGAATTTTTTCAACACCAATTTGGCAAGAGGTCCCTGCGCTTCTATAAGCCGCATGGGCATGAGTATATTTTTTAAACTAAAAAAAAAATTGTAAATGCTATAATCACTTTTTTAAAGGTAGAAAAGGCAAAAAACGGCAAAAATCTTAAAAAAGGCAAACAAAAGGCAAATATCTTAAAAAAGGCAAAAAAAGGCAACATCAAATGTGTATATATGGAATCAGGGAAAGCTAAATCGTGGACATTCTTAATCGAATATACTCTATCTCTTCAGGAGAAAAAAAAGCAATTTCCATAAAATCCGTTCCCTGATAATAACTAATACCAATGCAAGAAGAATTGATGATATAGTATCGCGGAACTAGTAGCATTCGCCGCAGGGAACTAAAGCAATTATATAATCCTACTTACACCTAAGTATTGCAATGTTGTGCAACAACGCTTAGTACAATGATTGGAGAATAAAACAATTGCGAGTATAAAAAACTAAACATTAATAATAAGAAGAATGCACAAGTAAAATGGAAAAACTTGAGTGAGAGAGTTTCAAGGACGAAGCAATCAGCCGCTCCTTGATATCGTGGCTATGTTACGAAACATGCGGAAATAATTATTGCAGTTGCTGTTGATGGTGAAGCGCATTGTGGCCAACCAAAAGTTTTAATAGCCGTCTGCTTTCCGTTCGATTGGTTTAATTCGTGGTCCTTAAGCTTCGTTCCGTTAGCGACGTGTTGCAGTGTTAACTGCGCGTTGATGATGCTTCCTGTCAATGCTGCAAATGAAAAAAACTATTACGAAGAATGTCTGATGAAGTGCAAACAGGAAAAACTAATTATGCAGTTGTTCGCTTAGTAAGTTTGCATAGCGAAGTATTATCGAATTTAAATTGCTTCAGTTATTTCGATTTCTCTGTCATTGGAGCTTAGTTTAAGAGAATAAGTAGATAAACTCGAAGTAGATATTAAGAAATGTAAACTGACGTGGACGAACATTTTCCAATTAAATTCTATATGTACACATGTGTTGCTCAAAGTGTCCGTACTTACTTTTTCTACAGTGGGTTTTTGTCGGAGTGCCCATCCAATGAAAACAAAATCACTTTCCTTTCAAGAAACGATTTATCTAGACTAAAAATCGGCTAGAAGTCCCTTATCACATTCGGACGGAGTACATGAAAAAATCTGCAGTGAAGTGAGCAGTGAAAGTGATTTTGAATCTAACAAGAATTTTATTGATTTGATAAGGGATATGGAATAATCTAAAGAAGTTTTGGCTTCTAGATTGAAAGAAAAGACTTTTTGGCGTTGGATATATATAACAGTGATATGGCGGGTCCACATCGCAAAAAAACGTGAAAAATCGTAGCAGAAAATAAAATTCCAAAGTAAAATTTTTTATATCACCCGTTTGCGAAAAGAACGTCAAAATCCATAGATAGTTTTATCAGGGTTAAGTGTGCAAAAATATCTGCCAATCCTTTTTTATGCTTTATAAAAAAGCATAACAACATTTTGCAATTGCTTCTCTGCAACTTTACTTACTTCTACTCATCTTAGCAATTATAACTGGAAGATAATAAGCCTTTGGCCGAAGTAAGGAACCAAATTAAAGTGTAAATATGGCGTTATTCTCTTACATACATATATTCCATCCCAGTACACAGAATTATATTAAAAATTACGTTTCAGCCATTAATATCGAAGAGAAATTGTACACGTGAAAAAGTAAACTCGGAATTTTAATGCTTTCAGCCCCCACACCGAAAAAATTATACACCTTTTTTCTTTCTTGTGAAATCTAAAAATATTTAGAGGTCGCGCTCAAAGTTTTCCATATATTTTATTATATATATATATATTTTTATATAAGTTCTTGAAAATTGATATTTTTCGATCGGAAAACTTTGTTAATAATAATACACAGTAGTTTTTTTTATCTTTTTAATAACAATGGTTTTTTAGATTTTTTAAGGTCCTTTAAAAAATAGTTAATAATAGAAAATGGCTAAATAAGCAATTGGGTATTATTATTGGCAGTCTCATGAAGGGAGCATTAAAATATATTTTGTATTTTTTTACAAATATGATGTAAATTAAAAATTATCTGTCTTTTATTTCACAAACTAACAAATTAACGAATATAAATTTTCAGTAACATGTAATTTTCTTTATGAATTTCATCGGAAGCGTCAAGAAACCTACTTTTTTAACACCCAAGTTAAGCTTTCCTCATGCCCTCTGGGAGAAAAGCGAACAAATGTAAATTTCATAATTTTCCGCAGTTTCCTCGAGATGCAGTAGAGATGCTCGAATTTTTTTTCCAAACTTAGGCTGCCCGCATTTTCCCATTATGTATTAAGGGCAACGTGCATTCTTATGAAAAGTAAATGTTTTTCAAGAATTTCATATAGCAAATCAATCAATCATTGAAAAATTTCTGACAAGCGCCATTTAACATACGAATAACATTGTTCAGCATGTGTTACAGCATGCGCGTAACAAAGACCCGTTATTTTTATTAAAACCGTTTTGATTTTGCATTGAAAATTTTTACGCTACGAAATAAAAATATGAAAAAAAATAAATAAATATTTTAATTGATCTTTGTATGTATACCAAATGAGAATTCCAAGTGTTGCTCACCATTGAGGCGTGACAATTTATTGAAGCCCAGCTGCTTGAAAAAAAAGAAAAAGTGCAACAAAATATGAGTTTGTTGTTAGTGTTTCATGTTATTGCTGATAAGCGTTCCCTACGTCGAGTTGAATCAAGTTAAAAGCGCTTGCACAAGCTTATCACCAAAACACCGTCGATGAACCATGAAATTTTCGAAATAAAACATACATACATATGTACATATAAATAATCTGCGCTTCGATGGGAAAATTTATTTGTCAAACAAAACGTAATTTTAGTTGAATGCTTGATTTACGAGTTTTAAAAAATTTTAAAGCGATTACAACAGATGTGAGCATAAATATGTACGTGTATGTATGTATGTATGTATATGCATGTGTATACTTAGTAACATTTTGTTACCTTAATATAGAATGACCCTGTCTAACATTTTTGTTTGTTTATCGAGTGATGAAAATACTCCATAGAAAATGAAAACATTTTGCTAAGGATTACTTTTAAAGGCTGCTTTTATTGCAGAATTTAACTAATTTTATGCTGTGGAAGTTATTTTTAAAATCCAATAGGCTTACAGAGAGTAGACTTTTGTGCAGTGCTGGATGTGAAAACAAAATGAATTAGAGTTCCTATATTAAGGTAACGATATGTAGCTCAGTTAATGCCATCATAAGATTAGAATAGATTCGATTTTGACTTGTACTTATTTTCTTGGCTTGGTTGCAGGCCATTTAGGTCATGTGAGTCTCGGTGCGTGCTTTGTAATAGCAAATAATGCGCTCTACCGTTTTCGGTTCCGCGTGGCACAGTCTGTTACTCGATTTGAAAAGTGTTTCACTACACTGCAGCGGACAGTAAGGAGTCATGTAAAAATACTTACTTCGTTCCTACCAGGGTGAAAGACTGCTTCGGTTCTCATTATTGATATTTCCAGACCGAAGGACTTAGCTAGTCAATTACCTTGCGTAATGTAGCGCTTTCTTCTTCATTCAGATATAGTAATTCCGCCTTAAGATTCTCGTAAACGATAAGAATAATTGTCGTGAGAATAGGAATTCACTCTCGTCCTCACCGCCAAAATAGCAACGAGAATAAGGACTCACTTTCATCAAAGAATTTTCATAAGTTCTCATGACTGGAATACTCTCCCCAGAGTAACAAGTGTGTGTGTGAGAGTTGTCTTACATTCTCACTGGTATTATCAGCTCTTATATGAGGCATGTTGAGAACTTTCATTCAGGGGCATTCGCACCAAATGCAAATAAGCCAAAGAGGACATTCACAAAAAAAGATATACTAAATACCAATTATTGGTTTACCATATCGGTGTGAATAAGCCTTTTATTTTTCTATTGCTATATCTGTTATTTGCTTATATCTAGCACAGTGGGATGATGTTCAGGTAATTGTGCAAATGGTATTGGTTTAGCGATTTTTGTTTTTAGCTTTTTATGAAAATTTATTATACCTGCCTTAACCAAAACCAAATAAACGTAGTTTGGGACTTTATAAAAAATTTTATAGAAATCAAAAAAATTTCAAACTATTTAATCTGAGTTTTTTTTGAAAGTTTTGGGTATGTAGTTTTATAGACCGCGACATTTCATCATAATAAAATACACGTTTTAAGTGCTTCAAGAGCTCAGCTGCTAAAAATTTGCGTTGACTTGTAATATTTTGCAGTCGATTTTTTTACGGGTTTTGACATATTTCTACAAATTTCTATTTTCTTGCTGCTGTTGTTTGCTATTCTCACACTCAGCCTAAAACCCAAAAGTAATTTTTTATGTATATTTAACATTATTGACAGCAATTGAATGAACAAATCCCTTTATAAATAACTCCTCGTCATTCACTCTTTTTGTCCTTAGTATTTACAGTTTTCCTTTTGTTTATTAAATATTCATTAATGTTTTATAAAAAGATATAGCACGTTCACACGTAAATCCGATTTTAAAATTTTATACAAATCTAAAAAAATTTTCAAACAAAGGGGTGCCCTATCTTAATGACCTGCAGTGAATAAACTAATAATATTTTTTAGAAAAATTTCGGATATGCAGTTTTGTAGCCCATGCAATTTTGGTCTACAAAATTGGATATTTAAAATGGCTACAAATACAAAATAATTTTTGATACGTTTTTTCGTTAACAGTGCTGCGCATTTTCTTCCATATAAAAATTTTACCGAGCATACTTTGTATGGAGGAAAATGCATGACAAAATCGTCAAAAATCAACAGCCACTTGACATTCAGACTTCTTGGAATAATTGGACCAAATTTGGTGGAAATTAATGAAGCGCTTACCGGTGTATAGGGACACGAATTTCGATACGATACGATACCACATCGATATTTTTGCCATTCGATACCGATACTTTTTACTCGATAGTTTTCAAACGATATTTTTTGGAATCGAGTACCAGAACTCTTGTATCGTATCGAATCGTAAATTTACATTACAAAGTTAATGGGAATAAAAATATATTATATTGGGCATTTCCAATCTGGCGTGGCATGACATTTGTATGACAAAATGTTAGAAAATAAAATGAAAACGTCAAAATTTTAAGACTCTAAGAATTGGGAAAACTCTTTGTATAAAACTTTTTTTAGTAATATTTGAAATATTTAAGGTTAATTTTCCGAATTACAAAATGTAAAAATCTGTCCTGCTTTTTTATCAGCCGAAGTATCTGACGTGACGTTACCTTACGAAAATTTCTATTGAAAGTTTTGTTGTTAATATTGTTTTTAAACAAATTTTTAACGCAAATAAAACCTGAGTTTTAGCCTTAGCTAGGGTTCCATTTCTTGCAAATCGTAATATATCCTTCTTACTTACTTTGGAATTTATATGTAAAGCAATATGGATATATGCGCAGAAATGTGTACTATCTTAGGTTGCAATGTGGCGCGCCCTCAGATTTAATTTTTTCAATTTTGTATCGATATTTGGAATATCGAGTCTTCTTATTGATATATTAATGGGTACCCGATATTTTTACAGCGATGCTTAAAATGAGTATTATATCGATACTTTCGGTTCGATATCGTGTCCATACCGGTGTAGCTTATGTAGTCATTTTCCCTGATTTATGTCTTATTTAATTTTAAGTGATTGTTTTAAGTGTTAACTTAGAGTATATTTGCGCCATTCGTTGTTGTAATTTGCGTATTTAAGAAATTTACAGTTATATGGCAAGTGGACGTAATGTACATCTGATTTAAATACTTTTTATATATCGCTTTATTACTCCAATAGCAATAACTGTTCTAGGTTTGGTAGAAATATCGGAGGTAGGCGTGGTTATTGCCGATTATTGATTTTCAAAATTTTCAACGGGACTCTCTGTGAGAGATTGGTACTGCGGGTACTTATGGCGTTTTATTTTGTCAAGAAAATTTCACCTTTTATATGGCAGCATTATCAGAGTACAACATTTTAAAGGAAGAGCATGTGAAGATGCTGAGAGAAGAACACGTAAACTTGACAGCCCTGACACAGAGTAGAGAGAAGTAGAGACGAAATTTTGCAATTTTTTTTTGTCGAGGTTGCGCATTTTCTTCCATATACAAAAATTAACGGTATTTTGTAGCAACTTCAAACTTCTACTTTATTATACTAAAATTGAATGGGCTATACTGCAAACAAATTCTTAGAATTCTGAATAAAAGCTGTGAAATTTTTATGTAAATTTGACGTTTTATTAATTGATTCAAAAATATAAACGTTGGGTTTTATGGATTTAACCATATTTTTATTAAAAATCAATAAAATTTAAATAAAACAAAATATGGGAAAAATTGACTGTACGATTTCCAAAATAGGGACCACAGATCGGATTTCGTCTTCTGCTGAGCAAACATTTTTGAAGGCAACCTTATATCGGTGAGCATGACCAGTGGAAATATCTGCTGACAATGTAAATAAAAGCATTTCTGAAACTTCGGGAGTTTTGTGATTGATTTCAGAAAAACACAAGTGTATTTCAGAAAAGGTCAAATTAATTTCAAAAAAACTCAAATGTGTTTCAGTAAACTTCAAATGTATTTCAGGAAAGCTCAAATGAATTTCAGTAAAATATTTTTAGAATACAGTTTTGCTTTTCTAAAATTCATTTGTGTTTTTCAGAAATACTTTTGCCCTTTTCTGAAATAGATTTTTGTTTATCTGAAAATCATTTGAGCTTTACTGAAATACATTTGTGTTTTTCTGAATTTCATTTGGCTTGTTCTGAAATACATTTCGTCTTTTCTGAAATACATTAGAGCTTTTCTGAAATACATTTGTGTTTTTCTAAAATTCATTTTGCCTTTTCCGAAATACATTTGTGTTTTCCTGAAATACTGTTGGTAAAGGTGTAGATAAAACAATGAAAACGCAATTCAATTAATGTTTTGAAAATTTGTTATACGCTAAATATGTGCATAAATATATCTAGATACCTATGTACAATGATACAAAACAGTTTTAATTCCTTTTTTCGTCTTATCTTTCTTTTTTTTTTGCAAACAGAAATTTGAAGGAATCTGACAAAAAGCCGTTTATGGAATTTGCCGAAAAGTTGCGACTCACACACAAGCAGGAACATCCGGACTACAAATATCAGCCACGGCGCAAAAAAGCGCGCACTCTCACAGCCAGTGGCGTACAGTGCGATGATGCGCTTAATGCTGTGACAACCACACTTACGCCCGGCAAACTGACGGACGCAGCAACAGCACCGCTACAATTGACAGCAGACTGTGCACACACAGGCACATTTCTGCCCAAGAGTTCCAGTGGAACGGGTGGTCGAAAAGCAATGGGCAGTAGTGGCACCACAACCGCAAGCCGCCTTAATGGACGTATCACAAAGCAAACGTCACAACAGGGAAATATCAGCAGAATCGAAGAATTGGGTGCCTATAACACTGACCCAAATTTTCACAGTAATATCAGTGAAATCACGTGTGCTGCCGACATGCTTAATAGCGAAGCATTTATCAACTCATTGAACAACGCATGCGCGGCTTCATTGCACAACGCTGCCAATGGTGGCCTCATGACGGAGTTGGCGGGACTTGATTTTGGGCAGCAGCAACTGGCACAGCAGCAACGTTATGATTACGCGCGTCCAATGGATTCACCCTGCTCAACGGCCAGCTCGCTACAGTCGACCGGTGCAAGCACCTCGGCTGACGGACAACCTCTCACACCGCCTGCCACACCTTACACACTAAGCAGTAGCAGTTTATTGAGCGCCAATCTGAACGGCAAACGTACTCCTACACACGGGCAAACACAGCCTCAGAAACTTTTGCAGCCCTCGAGTGAGTCTGTTGCGGGGCGTGCCGATTTGGCTGTCGGCTATGGTGTGCTAGTGGATGGGGCGCGCGAATACATATCTTTGGATGAGAGCTCATACAGTGCAGGCCTTTTGGATTTTCCGCGTTCCGCCAGCGAAATTCTGGCAGCCAATGAGTTGGCTTCGCCACACTATCAAAGCGCGGCTGCTAGCTCTATGCATCCCGGGCGCGTTTATGGTGTAGATGCCACTGAGAGCGATAGCTTTGGCACTTATTCAGCAGGCCAATATCTCGGCTACAATTGTGGCCCCAACAGCACTGATGATTGCAACTCGCCACATTCCATTGGAGTGCTAAATTACTTGGAATCCTGCGCGGCGACATCGGCATCTGCTGCGATCAACAACAACAGCAGCAGCAGCGGCAACAAAACACCCCTACTATGTGCAACGGCACATAGCTACATGGCGCCAAACTCAATGAGCAACAGCGATATTGATCCAAAGGAAATTGACCAATATCTCATGGAACAAGTGATGCCAATGACACAGACCTCAGGCACACAATTGCCACTCCACACGGTATCTGCCGTGGCAACAGCTCCCCCATCGATAACTTCAATTGCATCCGCAGTAAACGTCCGTTGTACAACAATAACAAAAGCGCCGCCAGCCCCAACAACAATGCCAGGCAACAGCTCATGCATAACATCTATAGCTGGCAGCGGCAATGGCAGCAAAAGCAATAATTCAACGAAATCCTCTGCCTCATTTCAACTGCTCTACAAATCACATTTGCAGCAGCAGGAACAACAACAACAACGTGATGTTTTAGAACTGCAACCGCTGAATACGACAACACCCTCATCAACAAAAACAACGACAACAAAGTTATCCTCCTCAGTAATAACGAACGGTGGAAGTGCGAGCAAATGTGGTTCCGTCAATAGCAGCAACAACAATAACAACAACAACAGTAATAGTGGAAGCCATTCCGCCAACGCCGGTAATTGCTTTTATGCGAGTGGCATTGATATGGACACGACAGCGTTGGCCGTACCCCATGGCTTTCACCAGCACTATGGCCAGCATCATCACCTCGCAAATCATCAGCAGCAGCAGCAGCAGCAGCAGCAGCAGCAACAACATGCTTCACCGCTGCATCAGGCACAACACGACCAAAATCAGGCACATCAACAACAACAATACGCCTGGGGTAGTTATGTCAGTCCATAATCGGCTTTATTTCGTGCACGACCAACTGATCCGCTTTCAATAGCTACTTATTTACCTCATCGTCCGTTGCCTCGCCCGTTTCGCATTTTTCCTGATATGCTGGCGCGTTCATTCGATTTTCCTCCATGAGAATTCCTTTTATGCTTAGCAAGTAGCAGAGCTTTACACAAACACACTCCTCCAAGCCGGTTGCTGGGTCGGCCCAAGATTTGAGGATTCGGTTCGCCAACTTGGTGTTTCAGAAATTCGACATTGCCAATCGCCTGTTATCGTTCGTTTTAGGATTTGACCGACGTAATCGCATTTCAACTCGCCTGATTGGTTACCAGCCCAATTTAACGACGGGATTTTCATACACGGCCGCGGTAAAATCCAATACGCGCATCGTTGATTCTCAATTACGAATGAACTGCTATCACTGACGCCTGAAATTAGAAAGTTCGCTGGAAATGAAATCATTTTTAAAGCTTGCTGATGAGTTTTTTGTACTACTTAATTTCCTATGTTTATTTAGATTCATTCAAATGAGCTAAATTACATTTAAGTTTAGGTATAGTAAGCCAATTAATTATACATATAGGCGTTTATAAATTTAAATTAAATATTCTGCGAAATTATCATAGTGGAAAAAATACCCGACCAGAGTATGAGTGGGTAAAATATTTTTTAAGAAGATGTTTTCAACAAGTTTCTGAAGATGATTCGAATAAATATATGTATGTAAATTGAACAAATTTTAAGCAAACACTATAAATTGTTGAACAGTTCTTGGAATTCAACTGCAATTAATAAAAAATCATTTTTAAGAAATATCTTTTAAGAGTTTTCGTCATCATCAATGCAAAATACCCTGTTGGGAAATTTTTTCTAAAATTCATTACCATATCTTAAAAACAGCGAGATTTATATTATATTATATTGTCGAACAGCCATGTAAGTTTAATAATATAGAGATGTAACTCAAAATTTACGTTTTTGGTGATTTCATCATACAATTAATAAGCTTGATAAGTAGAATATGTTTCGCCTAACACATGGCTAAATTTCCCAAACAACGCAAATATATAGGTCTTTTTAACTGTTTTTTTTTGTATACCAACTGTATGAATTGATCAAACTTTGATTGCGTTTCCCACACAATTTAAATTTTTTAAATACTTCTGTATATTATTAAACGTGCGGCATGTATATTCATTATTATTTTTATTGGCTGTGAGGAAAGGGTTGAAATTGCCTTCGCACAATATATAGAAACCGTCGCTCCTACATGGTGAAGCTACTAAACCAATCCCTCATTCTACCTTGGAAAACTTCTCTACACTGGGACCACTCTCTTTTGTCCAGGGCCACCATGTTTGAAGCCGTTGCTCTGGTTGGACAGTTTGTCGCTCCTTTATACGGTTACACTGAACGCTTTTTTGATCTCAGGATACTTTCGACGTATTTTGCGATATCGTTACAATTTTCTTCGCTACCTATCATTTTTACAACGTTGTTGTCGGCATCCCGTTCTGACTTCCATATTTGACATTTGAAGAAAGTGTGCACAACTTGGGGTCTCCACTTTCCCCATTCTGTGATTCTATACAGATATTTACACGTAATTATCCATGTTCGGATAGCAGTTGGGTAATGTAAAATTTTACGTCTGCGTAGCCTCTTGACACCCGTCCATCTGCCTCGCTCTTCGCGCTCCATCGTGTTTGTCACAGGGGTTGAGTTTGCCTTTCTATTTCTTGCGATGTTTATGCTATATTTATGGCCTGTTTTAGGTTCCACTTCATTTTCCGTTTCTTTGCTGCAAAGTCTATAGGCAATGTACCACCTATCACTCGCAGTCTCTGAGACTGTCCGGTATGCTGAGCCTCCAATTAGAGTCTTCGTTCTTTATACGGCGAACAGTACATTCCTTCTATTTTCAGCTCTTAGCGCATCTGACCATATTTCGCTACCATAAAGGAGAATGGACGTCGTTGTGTCCATTAAAAGCTTTCTTTTGCTTTGCTTTGGCCCCGCCTATGTTTGCCATTAGTTTGCTAAGGTAGCCTGTGACCTTTGCTGCCTTTTCTGCCGCATATTGTGCTCAGAATGTTACCCCTATTTTAAACATCTTCGATAGAACGTTCAGTTAGACATAATGAGATAAACTGATATAGACATGTGTGGCCGGTATCACGCCTATTTTCCAAAATTCCAAATAATATTGTTTTTTTTTCCAGGGATTGTTGTTAGTATCAATTTTGAGTAAATTAGCGTTCTTAATTCGAAATGTCGAAGTTCCAAGCATTTATGAAATTTACCGTTATATGAAAAGTGGCCGTAATTTTACACCGATTTTAAAAAATTTCAGCGTTTTGTTTTTACGTGGCAAGCACTATAATCATACCGCGTTTGGTACAAATTGCTAGAACGGTTAGCGAGGTACATATACGTGATCATAAGTAGGCGGTGCTATGCCCATTTTCCAAAATTTTATCACAGACGTATTTCCTGGTAAAGAATTGCAAGCATCAATTTTGAATAAATTAGCTTTAGTATTTATTGATTTATCGAAGATTTCATGTTTCTCTAAATTACCGTTCTATGGGATGTGGGCGTGGTTATTGTTAGATTTTAAAAATCTCCAGCCATTTAATATGCTGTACCAAGGACAACAACTGTGCCAAGTTTCGAAGAAATTGGTACAGCGGTTACCAAGATATACACATGTAACCATAAGTGGACGTAGGCAACCCTCCTGCATTTCGATGGATACTAATATTGTAATAATTCAATTAAATTATTGAAAAAATTGAATTTAGTTTATTTAACAGATGGCAACCCTTTAAACAAAAAAAAAAAAATTATTGCACATATACAGTCCAAACCCTATAATTTGACATCTAATTTTTGAAAATCGAACCAAGTAAAACCTAAATGACCTAAATGCTACAAGAACACAAACTTTCGACTTCAAACTGCATTTCCAGTGAAAGTATGAACGTTATCAATAAACGAATTGCCTTCATGAATTCAGCGCCCTCAAAATTACCAAGAAACAAATTTGCAATTAAATCTGTCCATAATTATATTTCTATCCACATTTTATATGGAAAAAAGAGCTACATTTTCTTTCCAATGATATCAAATTTGTCGATAACTAAGACAACAAATTTTTAAATTTTGCCTATAGTGAAAGCACTGAGCTAGAAACACAAACACAGTTACAAAATTAGTAAATTTAGTAACAGAAACATATAAAAAATCTTTGCACAAATTTTCCAACCCAGTGAAAGTGAAGGTAGCGATTAGTGACGGCTAGAATGGGATGTTTGTGCAGCCTGTTATAGGTAACGTGACCTGCCTGGTCTGTACTTGGGGAAAAGTGTGTTATATTTTCAAACTTATTTCTCTATGGTAGACAAACTTATAAACTTAGAGCTCTATGTACATTATATATATGTATTATAAACATGTGCGCATGCGCTTACTAAATAGTACGCCCATTTATACATACATACATTACTGATTACAGGCAGCATCTGCGTGCGCTATTGTAGCCTTTGATCTCCACTTTGTATGCATCATTTGGATTTATGATCTTCCATAGTTCGAACGGACGTTTGCCTTTTTAATTGGATGTAGTAAATATAGAACTTTAATGTGAGTGTTAAATTTTTTAGCGCTACAAGTGTTTTCGATTTTTATTATCTATTTTTGAAAACACATACAAATGCACGTATGTATGTATGTATGTAAATATGTTTTTGCTATTGAAGCGTTAATTGTGAATGCGTTGAAATTATTTTAAGCTGTACTTAAATAGAAAAAAAATATGTCTAAAGAAAGTTACGTATCTTCTTCAGTCAAATTGATGTGATTTTAGAATTATAAAGTTTATCTGCTATTTTGGCTTTAATGGGGCTTTGAGGTGATGAGCTCCGTAATAAAACGCAATATTTCATTTGTTGTTGAACTGTTTTTTAGATATTTAATTGACGAAATCTATCCACCTCCAAATATATGCCTGTTTCTAAATAATAATATGCAGTTACCGTATGGTAGGTAAATTTTTACAATTATTGCGTTCTGATCTCAAAAGGAGACATTTATTCGGTTTTGGAGAGAAAATGTGTAAGTGATTTTATTTGGATGTACATAGTTAACAGCGAGGTAAGGTCAAAGATCATTTATGGCACCAACCCTCTGCCAAGAGTCCCCTGTCCATTTGCTTCCGTATAACGAATACACACAATTTATTTTTATATGGAAGAAAACCGAAACGTCCTGGACAAAAAAATTCTAAAAAATCAACTTTAAGCCATTTGAAACTTGTACTTTGTTCCACTAGAATTCAATGGGCTACAAAACTGCGTACTTAGAATTTTTCTAGTAAATCTAATTAAAAACTTAGAAATTTTTACGAAAGTTTGTTGAAATTTTTTTTAATATTGCACAAAGTTTGATACTTTGATTTGATTTACACGTATGAATGAACTATATTTTTATAAAAAATAACCAAAATTAAATAACAACAAAAATAATATGTTAAAACTTGTCAAAATATGGTGCGGCTATAATTATTTCGACCACTGTATATATATATATATATAAAGATAACTGGACTTTAGTCCCACCAGATGGACAAAGGCTAAGGTCGCATTCATATCGAAGCCAGGAAAAGGATGTTTTTTTATTTCTATTTTCGAATATTATAATGCCATTAAAGCATAAAATGGACCTTAACATTCTGTAAATGAATCCATCAACTCAGAGAAGCGGGTGGCATGGTTGTCCCACCCGTAACCCTTGGAAAATGTAAATTTTCTGTGTTTAATTATGGAACTAAGTTGTATACTTTATTAATAGGAATAATAATAATAATAATAATAGATTGGCGTGTACACATATGTTAGTGTTTGGCCGAGCTTCTCCTCCGACTTTGTTACTTTATTAGTTTCGTAATAATCTGATCCTGAAATTTATCCAATAAATGGTAGGTTCAGAGTAACATAGGTAATTTTGCAAATTCATATCGTCTGTAAATATACAATTTCTAATAATTAATATTTCTCTATGTACATAAGTTTGAAATTGGTTAAAAAAAAATTTATTTCACAAGAGTATGTGTAGCTATGGGGCATGCTGGTTTAAAAATTTTCTAACTGAGTATTGTGATTATCAAAATCGATCGGAAAACTCTTGTCAGTGATTAACTAAAAAATTAGAGCCAATGTCGCATTCACAATTGTCTATTTCATCATAGAACATGAAATTAACAGAAAATTAGGGATGGCAAATCATCCACATTATAAAATGAGCAAACATTGTAAAATGTGTTACTTAGCAAAAAAGTAGTAGATTTCCACAAAAGTGTCCGCCATGGGTGTCGCCAGGGTCGAATTTAAGGGGGGGGGGGGGGGGGGGTGAGGCTAACACAAAAATATCCCTCGAAAACTTT